TGTTGTGTCCGCCAAAAACTAAAAAATAAATATTAAAAACACTCTCTCTCTTTAAAAAAATGTAAAGACAGTTCCACATAGTGATACACACATGTAATCCCAGCAGCTCAGGAGGCTGAAGCAGGAGGATCACAAGTTCAAAGCCAGACTCAGCAAAAGCAAGATGCTAAGCAACTCAGTGAGACCTGTCTCCAAATAATGTAGAAAACAGGGATGGAGATGTCACTCTGTGGTCGAATGCCCCTAAGTTCAATCCCTGCTATCCAAAAAATAAAAATAAAAAAGTGCTGGTGATATAGCTCAGTGATAAACTGCCCCAATTTAATCCCGAGTATGCTAAAATAAAAACCAAGACAGCCATAGCTGGGACAAAATATATGAAAAATACAAAGAACTTGTACACAAACTGTATATAAAAACTCCAAACCCAACAATAAGAAAAATAAATCAATTTTTTAAAAAAATAGGCAAAAAGCAGCCAGGCCTATTGATGCACACCTATAATCTTAGCTACTTGGGAGACTGAAGCAATAGGATCACAGGCTCAAGGACAACCATGATAACTTAGTGAGACCCTTGTCTCAATTTGTTTTAAAGAGCTAAGGATATACCTTTGTTTTTGCCTATCATGCTTAGGCTGGGAGGCACTAGGTTCATCCCCATTAATGCAAAAGAAATAGGGGGGTTAAAAGATATAAACAAGTACTTCATGTTATGATTCAGATATGAAGTGTCCACAAAAGTTAATGTGTGAGCCAATGCAAGAAAGTTTAGAGTGAAATGACTGGGATATAAGAGTCTTAATCAGTGCATTAATCCCCTGACAGGGATCAACAGAGTGGTGACTGTAGACAGGGTATGACAAGAGGAGGTAGGTCATTGGGGGATGTGTCTTATATTTTATCCTTGGTGAGAGAACTCTCTTTCCTTCCCGCTGCCAAGTTCCCAGTTGCTTTCCTCTATTACACACTGTAATCATGATGTTCTGCCTCACATCAAGCCCCAAGGAATGGAGTGGGCTGTCTATGGATTAAGAGTTCTTGAACCGTGAGCCCTAAAATAAACTTTTCCTCCTTAAAATTGTTATTGTCTGGTCTTTTGGTCACAGCAGCAAAAAAGCTGACTAAAACACTTCACTAAAGAAGACACACAGATTGGCAATTATACACATAAAAAGATATCAACTGACAGTATCAGAAGGTAGTGAGAATATGAAGCAACTGGAAATCTCATATATTGCTAGTGGGAACACAGAAGAGGACAGCCACTGTTCAGTTTGGCAGTTTCTTACAAAGCTAAACCTGTACTCACCATATAATCTAAAATTTCTTCTATTTAGATATTCATGCCCCAGAATTCATGAAAAGATCTGCACAATAATGTTAGGAGTAGCTTTATTCATAATAGCCAAACTGTAAAAACAATGTGAATGTCCATCAACTGAAAAATGAACAGATAGCAATATATCCAAACAATGGAATATTATTTTGTAATAAGGATCAAACTACTGATAAATGAAATTACATGCATGAATCTTAAAAGCACTGGTTCATATAAAATCAGACTAACAAAAAGATTATATTCTATACAATTTAACTTAGAAGACATTCTAAATAAGGTGAAATACAGTCACAGAAAAAAAGATTAATGATATTCAGAATTTGTGTGAAGGATATTAAGGAAGTGATAGTAATATTCTGTATTTTTCGTGTGTCAGTGTTCATACAAATGTATACATTGCAAAAACTCCTTGAACTACCCACTTAACAAGGGAGAATTTTATTAATTATACCTTAATATACTTGACTTTAAAAAATAAAAGTAAGCTGGGCAAGGTGTTACATGCATAATCCCAGCAACTTGGGAGGTTGAAGCAAGAAGACTGCAAGTTTGAGGTCAGCCCTAAGCAACTTAGTAAGATCTTGTCTCAAAATAAATAAATAAATAAATAAAAGGTCTGAGGATGTGGCTCGCACCCCTGGAATTCCCTGTACCAATCAATCAATCAATTAAAAAATGAATGAGTGCAATACACCCAAACCTCTACCTTTATAGATCTGTAAGTATAGATATATTAGAGCAAGAAAGTATAGTACCATATGACCATGAACATGATATAAAAATAGAAATATATTTGAAGGCAAGCAATATATCTTATTCCAATTACATGACTACTCTTGGCTTTACGCTTCCCTGCTATAAACAGAAGGGTTTACAACAGTTTCCTAAATCAGAATGTTCCTAAACATTCAGAATCTTCACAGTTATTCTGGGGGAAGGTTTCCAAGATCAAATTACTTGAGATATGGTACCCATAACGTGAATAACAATATAATTTAGCATATGAAAAGGCAAAGTAGTCCTATATCTATTCAATATTTTCCTATTATTGTAAAACTCACTTCACTGAACCCTGTTTTTCAACAAAATGTTGCTAGTTTTCTCTAGTTCTAAGATTCTTTGATAAAACTTTTATAAGACTTATCTACCTAATTAAGTTCTTTGTAGACTGTACCCCACAATGAAAAACCTGCCTCAAATCACAAAGTCAAAAGCAAATTTCATATTTATCTTGATTACTATCTTAGAAATCCTGAGGTGTTTTTTTTTAATCCTCTGAGTTTTCAATCAGGCTCTGCATTCCAATTCTCTTTAACTTAGGTATGGTTCACTACTATGTACTACCTGAAGATACACGATTGAATTACCTCTATTCTAAAAGCCCTTCCCAAATAACATAGCAGATTTTAAGAATTTGAGAGCAATACCAGGAATACAACAATTCCTAAGCAATTACTAAAAGTATAATAAACTGATTCAAGTCAGTGTAAAAATCTTACTATACAAAACCAGCATAAATTTAAAAGAGCATGCTTAGTTAAAAGAAAAAGGAGGAGCTGCTGGTTGTAGTTCAGTGGTAGAACACTTGCCTAGCACATGTGAGCCACTGAGTTTGATCCCCAGCACCATATAAAACTACATGAACAAAATAAAGATATAGTGTCCATCTACAACTAAAGATATTTTTTAAAAAGAAAAAGGAAACAAGATGGAAGGTTAGAGAAGATTTTAAAAGCCTGAAAATACTTTGAAGTCTGCTCTTCTGCTCTTCACATGTGACCACTAAAGAAGTATAACACACTAGAAAAATAACATTGAATAGTATGGCTAAAAATATATATTGTTAGCAAAAATAAATGGATGGAAATTGTCTCAATTCAGTGCAATAAATTATGAAGTTTTAAGTAGTTTAAGGGAAAGTGCACATTGAAGAATTCTGGTGAGGTAAACAAAGTACCCTTTAAAGTGAAAAAAATGTTAGCAATGTTACATTCAATTAAACCCAACCCAGTAATGTATTTGCCAACTAACTTCAGACTATAAAAAACTATTGCTAACGGTACAATTGAAAGTATCAAATTTCCCTTAATATGTCTTGTGAAAGTTCTTTAACCAATGAATTTGCATAAATATCTTTTTTGGGGGGGGAGGGGGTACTAGGGGGGGTACTGAACCCTGGAGTGCATTCCCTCTAAGCTACAATCCCAGTCCATTTTTTGTTTTGTGGTGGTGGGGAGGTTGTTTGTTTTTGTTTTGTTTTATTTTATTTTGTTTTTGAGACAGGGTCTTACCAAGTTGCTCGGACTGGCCTTATACTTTTGCTGCCCTCCTGCCTTAGCCTCCCAAGTCACTGGAATTATAGGTGTGCATTACCACACCTGATTTAAATAGTTTTGTTTATTTTACTTATTTATTTGTTTTTTGGTACTGGGGATTTAATCCAGAATCACTTTACCAATAAGCCACATTTCTAGCCTTATTTATTTGTTTGTTTAGAATCAGGGTCTTGCTAAGTCACTGAAGCTGGCCTTGAACTCATAATCCTTCTGTCTCAACCCCCAAGGTTGCTGAGATTACAGGCATGCACCACCATGCCCAGCTGTGGTCTAAATATATTTTTAAATAATTTCTAACACTAACTTATTTAATGTCTGGAGGTAAATACATTCTTATAAACTTATTGTATATAATAGTATCATTTTTTTAAAAAAGTATTCTATTTTTTTTCTTTATACCAGGTATTGAAACCTGTACACTTTACCAGTGGGCTACATCCCTAGTCCTTTTTAATTCTTATTTCCTGAAAGGGTCTCAACTAAGTTGTCCAGGCTGAACTAAAACTTGTGATCTTCCTGCCTCAGTCTCTAGAGTAGCTGGCATTACAGTCATGCACCACCATGCCAGCTTAAAAAAAAGTACTCTTATTTTTCAATCTGAAATTCAGTCCTTTAAAATTTTAATACATATTCTACAACACTATGCACTATAAAAACTATATAATTTTTGAAGAGGGAGAAAACAGAGAAACAGAATGGCAGTTCATCCAACACCTTGTTTGGCAAATGTGTTTGAGAGCTAATCATATAAATGATTTTGTGCCTAAATCTCCTTGGGAACCACAACTAGTATTTCTTCAAAATGTTCTGGCTAGAGATGTCCCAATAGTAATTTGAATGGGAGATGTAAATTGAAGTAAAGTAGAATTGGGAAGAGTGACTTTTTTTCTTAATAAGACACATAAACATCATTACAAGTTTGGCAAACAGATATAAGCAGAATATACTTTTGTTTCCTTGTGAAAGCAATCAGAAAGGATAAGTTTTGGGAAACTTTGGGGAAAAGTAAAAACTTCTGGGAAATCCAGCACACAGACAATCACGGGGATAAAAACATCTGTACTATATTTTTTAAAAGAAATGTTTTTGCCAAGAAAGAAATGAAATGAAAAAAGTCACCTTTTACCAAAAAAAAAAAAAAACCATGGTTATATTTTGTTTTAACTAAAAATGACTTAAAATCCAGACTAACAAACTCCTTAGGAACATAACCAGTTTATTTATACTTCAAATTTAATTTTTATAAACATTTTTGCCTTTTTAATAATTTCAAGAAAGAATGAATCAAGAACATGTTTATAACTCAAGGGGATAATTACTCACCCACATTTGGAGGTTTCACATAATTTACAGGTAGTTCTGGAGGTCTGCCTCTATGTAGAGCTGCAAAAGCAGACCCATTCCATAGTGTACTCTTACAGTCTGTGTAAAAAGACTAAAAGTTAGTCAAGGAATACAGCAGTATTTTTCTTTTCCTTTGTGCCTCTGAGGCACATATCTGATTTCAATTTCATTTCTTGGAATATATGTTGCCCTATTAAAGCCACAACAAAATGATATTCATATATTTAAACATTTCTTAAACTAAATCATAACTAGTAAACACAATACCTTCACATAATAATCCCAGGATATTGTATTTCTGCATTTCTTTCAAACTAAAACTTCTTTTATGTACATTTAAATCTTATGCAACTGTGTCACAGATGAAAAAAATTTGGTTTACATTTTTCTTCTTGATCTTTAGGCTTATACATGCCTACTCATGACACTGTATAAGCAAAGATCTGATCAAATCTTTGTACAAATTTTCCACAGAAAATTCAGGCACATTTACACGTTGTGCAAGCTCATATTATTGAGTACTTACAGGTTGTGCCATAAGAGGTAACACAGCATATCAGATGATTACTAACTATAAATAATCATCATTTTTGTCTCTTATGTTTATTTTAAAAATTTGAAAAAAAATCTAAATATTCCTAATAATTAGACTGAGAAATGAAAATATATGAGTACTCTTAAAAGCTTCCAATTAACTCAATGAAAGAATTGCAATTATAAAATGAGATGCTTAAAATCTGCAACAGCCAAGTACAGTGGTGAATGACTGTAATCCCAGCAGGTTGGGAGGATGAAGCAGGAGGACCTCAAGTTCAAAGCCAGCTTCAACAACTTAGCAAAACCTAGGAAGATCCTGTCTCAACATAAAAAATAAAAAGTGGTGGAGGATATGGCTCAATGGTCAAGTGACCCTGGTACCAAAATAAAATAAAATCTGGCATCATTTATGCAACTATCTCTTTTTAAAAATATTTATTTTTCAGTTGTAGTTGTACACAATACCTTTAATTTATTTATTTTTATGTGGTGCTGAGGATCAAACTCAGAGCCTTGCACGCGCTCTACCGCTGAGCCACAACAATGTAACTATCTTAATGAAGTAGATCTTTAAAAACAGTATGCTAATAAAAAAATACATACAAATAAACTGGTTGCTTGCCCAGAAGTATTTAATATTCTAAGAGTTATTCTTAATGCCCAATTTTACTTTTTTTTTGGTAGTAGGATTTAACCCAGGATTTGACTTTACCACTGAGCTACATCCCCAGTTCATTTTTATCTTATTTATTTATTTTAATTTTTACAATAGGTCTTGCTAAGTTGCCAGGTTAGATTAAACTTGTGATCCACCTGCTTCAGCTTCTCATATCACTGGGCTCATAGGCATTCATCACCATGTCAGGCTAATTTCACATTTTTATATTAGAAAATTCCACTTTATATGTTTTACATTTGGGGGTTCCATATTGGAAAAAAGTCTATAAAAACTGAAAAGTAGCAAAATAGAGAAACAAGTATTTGACAGTCACCAGTGATTAATATTTTTGGTTTAAATATTTTTAATTATGAAAAATTTACATCTAATTTTCATTTATTTGTCATGAAATGAACAATAAGATTAGACTATATTATTAAGACTAATAAATAGAAAAACATTATAAAATAAGAAAATAATTTTTAAACATTTATACTATTGTAATCACAGCAGTAGCCTTTGAGATTTCTATTTCAAAATTATAAAGGGGTTTTATATTGTTTTTTTTGAGAGGAGGTACTTTTCTTTTTCTTTTTTTAAATTTTTATTTGTTTTAATTAGTTATACATGACAGAAGAATGCATTTATATACTTTGATATATCATACATAGATGGAATATAATTTCTCATTTTTCTGAGTATACATAGTTTACAATCATACTGGTCATACAGTCACATATATACATAAATTAATAATGTCTGTTTCATTCTACTATGTTTCTTATCCCCACATCCCCTGCCTTCCCCTCCTTTCACTTCCCTCTACCTAATCTAAGGTAACGATATTCATTTTTTTGCCTTTATACATGTACTTTTTTTTGCATTACAATTCTTTATACACATATATACCACAGTTTTTGTATCTGTTTGTATATAAATTATGAAGACCTGAATTGGGTATCAACATACTTCATTTTATATTCTTTTTCTCTAATATTCAGATTGACACAAAGGGTTTCTTTATAGGCCTCTAAAAATTTACTTGTACACTAAGAAAGTAAAAACAATATGGACAAGATAACAAAATCTAGAAGAAAATGAGTATTTATCAAAAACAAGAGAACATTTTTTCTCTTTACTCCTTCCTCTAATAACAAAGTTCTAATGTATGAAAATCTTACCTTTGGCATCCCGTAACAGAGACTGCCGACCAACACCTAGTAATGTTTGTACTCCAGGAACACTCTGAGGGATCTCCTTATCTAGTAAGGGACCAATCCGCTCACAAATTTTAAGGAGGTAGTCTGGAGGAATGTGTGCATTGGCTGCCACCTAAAACAGAGAAATTAAACACAAGAGGAAAAACATAACATTTTTGGCTTACAAACATTAATTGAGTCTCTTACCATTTCCATCATGGAGCAGAGTATAGTTTTAAATATGAAATGAGTAAAATAAAATTTTAAACATTTAGTGCTTGAACTAAATTAAGAAAACAGCCACAAAATAAGCATATTTAAATGATATGACAGGGCTGGGGTTGTGGTTCAGTGGTAGAGCACTTGCCTAGCATGGGTGAGGCACTGGATTTGATCCTCAGCACCACATAAAAACAAATGAATAAAATAAATGTTAAATTCTTTAAAAAAAGAATGATATGACAACATTTAAATGAGATGGCACTCTAACTTAATTTAATATATCTGTATAAACTTATATGCTTAGCTGTTACTTTCACAAAATATGTGTTACAAAGCAGCAAAAGTATTCACGCCAAAGAAAAGCAATGTGTAAACACTGTTACTTGATTTACTCAGTACTGATAATGAACTTATCAAGAATTAGAAACGCTGGATTCTATACAAATGATAAGAACAAAAATGAAAGATATTACTTGCATCAAATCTCACCCAAGTCCCTTTATAATTAAGGTAACACATTTATACAATAAAGTAGAATTAGTTTTCCTAAAAGCTCATTTGTTTCTAAAAGGGAATCTAATTAATGATTTTTATAAATACCACACTCTAGAAAAAGAATCCACGTAACAAACATGACTTGCAACTTAGACTCAATTTTTTTTAATTGCAAGTAAATGTCAGAACATGAGCAAACACATAAAGTAGGAACTAATCAATAAAGAAACAATTTTAAAATCTAAGCTAATGCTCAAATCCTTGAAAGGTTTCATAAATACCTAATTATGAAAACAGTAAACAGAAAATAAGATTGTTAGCTACAAAGAGCATTCATACTCTCACATTGACATAGGTCCACTTCTGGCTAGAATGCCATTTTTTATATGTACATCATATATATATTGCAAAGGACATACATTAACAGGTCAAGAACAACAGTAAAACACAAAAGAAAAATTTTGTAAATCATCACTGGTGATCACTCTGAGAAAATATATTTTGTCTTTTGTTCACTGCCATATTCCTAGTACTGAGAAAGTCCCTTGCATAAAGAATACATATTTGTTGAACAAATAAATGAATGAATGAATATCAAAGTAAAGTCTACCTATAATCAATGTTATAAGAATTTCTAGAGGAAAAATTTCAGTGCCTTTTTTGTCTTAGGAAATATAGGTTAAAGAACTAGAATATATGTATTCAGAATTCTGGGAATATAAGTGACTCTATTAAGATTATTATTTTTTGAAGTTATTTCCTTTTGTAAAATATCACTCATAAGCTCCTGAAGGAAAAAAAAAATTACTCTACTAAAATAGGTAGGGCCCAAGCAACTATCATAAAGCTCAGAAGAATAGCAAGGAGGTTACATCTACTAGTTTTAGCTTATGGGTTGAGACAAAGTATCAAACAAAATCTTTTAATTATTTCTCATAACTTAACACAATATAGGGCTTTTCCTATCATGTGCATACACATGTAGTTAGTACTATTAAAATATATACAGTTTCTGAATGGGGAAAACAGCTTTAAGGTACTGCATATTACTATTTATAACAGCTGTGCTTTTCCCAATACTGTCTTAGAAAAACCAGGCTTCTGATATCAGCCATTATTTTTTGATCAAGTAAATGCTATACCAGGGGCTTTATACAGGATGCTACTAGATATCTTTTATTGACAATTTTCTTTTTCTCATCCCCTGACCAACTCAACAGTTATATAAAACTTGTTATACAAAAGCTTAACTAAATACCATAGAAATACAATATATATAGCAATCTTTGTGTTTATGTGTGTGAACACAGACTGGGGATCAAATACAGAAGCTTGTACATGCTAGGTGAGCACTGTAGCATTAGGCCATACCCTCAGTTTCTCTAATTAGAACTTTATTTGTATGATAAACCAGCAAATAAAGTTCACAAGTTTGATATTTACACGACAGAGAACTGTTGAATTTCTAAGCAGTCTCAAAAACAACTTTTCTGTAAAATCAATAAAAATGTCATTATTGGTAGTACTAAAGAAATACAGAGTCTACAAAAAGAATGGCAATAACAATATTTTGACTTTAAGCATACTAACTTCTCCTTAAACACTGGCATACTTCCAGACTTTATCAATGCAGTTCTTACAATGTTCCTTCCAAATCAAATTTGGGGTTTTAGAAGTGGTAGTTAATGTTTACTGGAATCCATTTATTTCTTAATAAAAATAGAGTTATTTTAAGATGATCTTTTCAGACATAAGAACTGTGTACAGAGTCTGGAGTTCTATTGTGGCTTAGTGGGAGAGTGCTTGACTGGCACGGCTGAGGCACTGGATTCAATCCTCAGCACCAAATAAAAATGAATAAATAAAACAAAGGTATTTTGTCCATCTACAACTAAAAATATTTTTTTGAAAAAGAACTGTGAACACTGAATAGTTACTTTTCAAAAATTTTTATAAGCCAGGCATGGTGGTGCATCCTATAATTCCTATGGCTCAAGAGGCTGAGGCAGGAGGACTGTGAGTTAAAAGCCAGCCTCAGGAACTTATTGGCACTCTAAGCAACTCAACAAAACCCTGTATCTCAATAAAATATAAAAAAGGGCTGGGGATGTGGCTCAGTGGTTAAGGGCAAGTGAATTCAATCCCCAATTCCTCCCCCCAAAAAAAGATTTTCTATAATTCTACATTAAAATATATATAAATGTTAAATAATATGTCGCAAAATATAATTATAAAAGTATGTACTTAAGTCAGGTAAGGTAGCACACATTAGTAATCCCAGTTACTTGGGAGACTGAGGCAGGTGGATCAGAAATTCAAGGCCCACCTCAGAAAATTAGCAAGACTCTGTCTCAAATAAAAAAGAACTGGGGATACAGCTCACTCAGTCATAAAGCACCCCAGAGTTCAATCTCCAGTACCAAAAAAAAAAAAGTCTGTACTTAAAATATTCTTTCATAGCTTAATATTATAAACAACTCTTTTCAATTTTTTCAATTAAAGCTCAAACATCCTAATTTCAATCATTCAACTATATGTTTATCTTGGGAATATAATGGCTGACTAATAACTCTTCTCGAGTGTTTTGGGAACTTCTCTGAAAACAAAGTTTAAGAGTATAACACAAGTATTATTCTATAAAACAACTCCAATGCATTATAGAATATTTGAATTGGAAGGACATTTTGTATAATCAACCCAACTCCTCGTTACAGAGAAGTGAAGTGCTTTGTTTAAATGTCACAATGAATAGACAGGAATCTGGAACTCTGCCCACTCCTCTCTCTACCACTCATATTAACAGTTGAAAATTATAAAGTTGGAAACTGACAAAAAGGCTGCAAAAAGATGTAAACTATAAACCTGAATATATTGAAAGTAAAACTAAAAAATCCTAAATTATAAACCTTTTTGATAGAAGATTGGCTGACCTAGAGAGCAAACCTAATGACTGAATTCACTTCAGAATCATTATGGCAAGCGAGAAGACCTGAAATGCTAGATAATCCTGCATATCATAATTAGTTAAGAGAAATCCCGTTGAGCACTGAGTAAAGTGCTATATAGGTAGCTATCTTGGAAGGACAGTCCTACACCAAGAACTACATCTAAAATATATTTTTTCATTTGGAAATGGTATAATTTTTTGAACCAAAGCTTTTAAAAATAATACAAACAAGTAACTCTTAAAAGTATAAGAAAAAATTGTTTGTTTTTAACTAAGACTATGGCTACAGAGGTAAAATGAAGAAGCAAACAGGTATTGTATGCTTAAGGAAAATGAAACACTATCTGGTATTTTTAAATTAGTTTTACAAAGGAAGATGGAAGAGACAAAAGTTAGTCACATAATCTTAAAGTCAATAGGGATAAAAAACAAAATAGATTTTAAAAAATAGGTTTAACTATATTAATAGAAGTATAGATAGAAGCAAGCTACTTTGAAATCTGTCAGGCTGGATTATTCAGGCTCTAAAATTTACTAGCTTTTACTGTTTTTCACAATGTGGTATAGAAGACTTAGTTATGAATAATTCCAGCATCCCCAGTTTCTACTTATGTGACCCTGGGCAAAGTTACTTAGCCTCTCTGAATCTGACCTTCTTCATTTATAAAAAAGGAAGCAGTGACAACTACCTCATATGTTTTGGTTCAGACAAAAACAAAATCATTCACTTGCATTCATTCATTCACAATTGAAATGTAAGGGATGCAAGGAAAAGAAGATTCAACTGCTTCCCTAAGGGAACCCATAGTCCAAGTAAAGGAAACAAACTAGTAAATAGAAACAAATAAAAATTGCAAGGGCCCAGAGGTTAATACAGAGTGCTAAGGAAAGGAAGTACAGTACCTAATATTGCCTGAAGGTAAGGGTTCATGTCCAATTTTACACTTGAAGGATAAGTGAAAATTCAAAAGACAGACAAAGAGTATGGACCAAGCATTCCAGGCAAAGAGAAATACAACCCCACCCAGTAAAACCCTTTGCACAGTGACTAACATATAATATCTTCTCGATGTTTAAGTATTTTCTGCTAATGTTATAAAAAATTACAAATTATGTCCTTCAGAGTACCATCTGATTTTGAAGGAAAAGAATACAAATGCTTGTACAAAAAAATTAAACAAAAAAAATTAACCATAGTTTCATTTCTTCTACATAATCTTCCAAAAAATTAAAATATCTAAATAGCCAGGCATAGTGGTGTACACCTATTCCTGCTAGTCAGGAAGATAAGGTGGGAAAACCACTTGGGCCCATGATTTTGAGAACTGCCTGGGAAATAAAGGGAGACCCACTTCTCAAAAAAAAAAAAAATACACACACACACACACACACACACACACACACGTGTGTGTGTGTGTGTGTAAATGCCTACATTGTAATTTAAAGTGTTGTGTTTTAATATTTACCTA